CATAGAAAATAATGTGTTTAAGGGAGGTATCAACTCACCAAGGAAAGAAAGATCTGAGCAGGACAAGAATCACAGAATCATAAAATCATTTAGGTTGGAAAATAACTCAAGGATCATTGAATCCAACTGTAAACCCAGCACTGCCACTCCCAGCACTGAACCAAATCAAAGTGCCACATCTACATGTAACCACACGAAACTACTCGATCATTTCTTCAGCACATGGTGATCCAGCCACATCTTGTCTCCTCTAGTGAGGGCAGGGAGAGCCACGAGCACCACTCACATAGCAAACTTCAAAGATTCTGGTTTGAGATGCAAGAGGTATTGGGGTATTTTTACTTCCAGAGCTGAAAGACTTCCCTGCCCGTGAGCCAGTTCTTTGGCCAGCTGCCTTAGTGAAAGAGGAGGAATCTACTTCAGTTGGTTTCATTAAAATTCTTTGGGTTACAGCAGCTTGGGAACAAGACATTAGTGCTACTTCAAAAATTCAGACTAGAGCACAGCATAAAATGATAAGACTGGCAAACATGAGAGGGTAGAACAGGGGACTGCCCTGCAGGACTGAACTGCTCACTAGTCACAAAGAATCATCTCACACTATCAGTGAGAATGAAAGTGTGTGAAAATCCCCATTGGGATAAGGAAAGAGAGAATCTGAGAAAGAAGATTAGATTGTGGTAGAGTAGGAAGCTAGAGTTTCCCTCCCTTGAATTGTTTCAGCCACTTATTACTTGTTTCAATACTTCTCTGTGAGCCACTAATTGTCGCAGTGGGATCTTTCTGCTTCATTTCCCTCTCTTTGTGAGAGCAGGCGTCAACACTGCAAAGAGTTAGAAATCTGCAGCCTGGTATACAGAGGACAATGTCCGATTTGCAACATGTCCAGCACAGGTCAGTGGCATGGTTAAGCCTTGGAAAATGCCTTTTATACAAGCATTAGATTTCAAGATCTCGAGGGGAAAAACCCCCACTATTGCAAATCCCAAAAGCAAACAGAAAAAAAAAAAAGAAATAAAATGGAGACAATGAGTTAGCTGGCTGGCTTGGAAGAAAGACAGGGTAGTTTTACAAGTTTTCTCTTCACCCCTTGATCTGTTCTCTTCAAGCAGGAGTACTTAGTAGAAAGAGCACACGACATAAAAGAAAAAGAATAGTAGCTAGCTCAGTTGCAGCTTAGCTATCCCTGAACAGCAGCAGTGTTTTTTAGTTCACACTCAGAAACTCTGTCCAGAAAAGCCTCTGTTGCATGTCCCCATCCATGCCTGTCCCCGGTGCTAGATCAGCTGTTCCTGTCAGATCCTTGTTTGAGAACAGCGGAGACACATAGAAGATGGAAAGTTTTCCAATTAATATGTCACATTACAGGAATGGGAGAACATGCCTATTTTATATTCATTGTACTTTGCATGTGAGGGCATGTTCCAGGGATGGCACATTTCCCTGGGACCTGCAGCTGCCCTGGTAGGTGGTACCAACACCTCACTCTTAAGGCAAACTTCACAACAGCACAGCAGGGCAGGTTTACTTTCTACCCAAAGAAAAAAAGGACTTCCCCCTTCCTCCTCCATACTAAACATTTCTCTCTGGCCACACTGGAGGAGTTCTCCATGTTCCAGATAAGCACCAGACAGGTCATGTAAAACTACACAGACCACACCCCTTGCTCTTACCACTGTGCTACATATAAAAACCTCAAGAGTATTCTTTATGTGGACACACTCGTTACTTTTTTCCATTGCCTCTTGCTAATCACCATCTTTAGTCATTTAGAGCTAGCATTACAAAATTTATGTCAAATAACCTGTCTACACATGTTTCCTGCTTAAGCCTTCCTTTTAGAACACATTCACAGCAGAAAATATGAGTGAAGGACAAGCAGAAGGTTACACAGATTTAGGTGAAGCAAAAATATGCCTTTAGGAAAACAAGAAAGTCATTCAACCGAGTGACATTTTTAGCTTGTGTTTCTTATCTTTCCTATCTAAAAGCAAGACTGAAGACCTACAGCACACACACCATGTGCTGTTTTACATTTATTTTCCTTTGTTGTTTCT